ATACTTTTAGGATGTTAGTGCCCTTACCGTCCAAATTTTGGTGCATATATACCCTTTATACTAACGGTGATACACGTGTCTCAATCTTAACCGTCGATTCATTCTTTGTTAAAATTCAATCCAAAATTTGAAAAAACCCACCCAAATTATTAAAAAATCCACCCAAATTAATATAACCCAAAACCCCCCAATTAATTCACTTAATGTCAAATCAAGAGACTTGTTTAGTAGCATCCTTTCCCAAATCTTCATCCCTAAAAATCATTCTCATTCTCAAGTGAAATTCCTGTAGTCAAAGGCCAATCAAGCATCGTCGCAATCCAAGCGATTCAAGCTCTAAAACGAGCTCAAAGAACTGACCCTTCCCAAATCGAAGCTCAAGACTCAAAAACCTCAAATTGTCTCATCAAAACAGATCTAATTGCAGCCTACAAAGAACTTCTACGACAAAACCTTTGCGATTTGGCCCTCAAAGTATTACCAGCCGTTCAATTGGAATATGATGTCCCTGATTTGGGGCTTTATGCTGATATGGTCTTAGCTTTGACCCGGAGGGTTTTGTTGAACATATCGATGAATTGATTTGTAATTTGGAGAAAGTGGGGACGATTGAATGTGATGATAAGTCGCTGGTAAGGTTGGTGAGGGTGTTGGTTGAAGGTGAACATGTGGAATCTACTGTTAGGGTTTATGAATTGATGAAAAAGAATGGATGGGGTTCTAGATTTGAGATTGATGAATATGTAGCTAAGGTTTTAAGAGATTTGGGAAAGAAGAAATGGTTGATGGAGTTGATCAATAATTACATAGATTGTCGAGATTAGTTTAGGGGAAACGTTAAATTTTGACAACTTCCACTGATTTTGTTTTGTTTGGGTGTGGGTGTTTTTTATTTGGGTGGATTTTCAATGAATCGGGTGTTTTTTTTTTTGGGTAGAAATTTATTAAATATCGGGTCGCCTGATAGGATTAAGACACGTGTATCACCGTTAGTATAAAGGGTATATATGCACCAAAATTTGGACAGTAAGGGTACTAACAACGTAAAAGTATAGCGAAGGATATATACATACCATTTACGATAGTTCAAAAACATTTATGTCCTTTTATTAAAAAATAATAAAAAGAGTGTTATATGGTAACTTGAACTCTAAATTAATTATATGAGTTTGTTAGGAATTCTTACTTGACTTATCAAAAGTAAGAAGGATTCTTTCATACTTTATTTATCCTTATTATTTTCACACTCATTCTCCGTCAACACCATTAAAGCAATTGACATACAAAATTGAAGCAATTTGAGATAAAAAGATGATAAATTTTTACTCATTATTATTTTTCTTTTTCAGAATCTAAATTAGTAAATACTCAAAGTCGATTGTATAAAAAATATTTCAATGTTATTTCAAAGAAATTTTTTTCTTGTTCCAATGTATGAAGAATTTTATGTTTTGTGGTAACAATGATTTTTAGAGAATGCTTTTTAGAACTTTTCAGTAAATTGGATAAATCCCAAAAATTAAATGTAGTAATCTTAAACTTGGAAAAATAGACACACCATTTCTGCAATTTTGCATAATATTTTGATATTGATAGAAGAAGATCCAAAGACATAGATGAGAAAGGTAGGAAAGAGAGGGAGAAAGATGATAAATCTCAACGTGTTTTAATAAAAGAAAGAAAAAAAAAATCATTAATCATTAAATGTGAAAATATATTAATTAAACTAAAAAGAAAAATAAGTATTTCTAAAAATGAGTTGATTGTATAATTTTCTTGTTCACCGTCAGTGGATAGTAGTTAATCTCTTAAATTTATTTTCCATCTTTCATGTTTTTAAATTTTTCTCTTTCATCAATTTTTCAGTTTTCACCATTGTCCCAATCATTCATGTTTTCTCATTTTTTTCTCTTTCATCAAATTTTCACAATTATTTTGTCCCTCATTGTTGAAGAAGAACTAATCATTCAAGTTCATACCAATTTGTTCAGATCTATCAATTAATTCAAGAAATCTCTCAATTGATAAAGGTATTTTCGAAATCATCATTTATTTTACGAGATTTCATGAGATTTTGTTTTCAAAATCACAAATTATGTTGAATTTTGGATTGTATGCATTATGGTTTTTCCATCATTTTTTTTTATTTTTATGTGAGTTTGTTAACATACTCATCAAATATTTATGCATTTCAGATTTTTAGTCTTTTCAACACTATTGTTCAATTTTTTTGTGATTTTATTTTCATATTTGAGATTTAGTAGATTGTAATTTGTAGTAATCTACATTAGCATTAATATATAATATATTGTTTGATTTTTTTATATATTCATATTTAATAATTTTGAATTTTGCTTATAAGGTTACTTATGCACAAGTGAATACAGATTCAGATTTGGATTTGGTGAAAAAAATCGGAAAAAAGGAACATAGCAGACGAAGAAGAAAGAGAGAGTCAAAGAAGAAGGTTGCAAAATTGTATTCATACCAAAATAGTATTCATATTAATTTTTGTTTGTCAATTATTTTTCTTTTACTCATCATTTGTATTTTTATTAAGAACATTGTATTTCTTTTTTAGTTTGTAGTCATTTAAATAGGTATGTCAAAGGAATTTGTATTTCTTAAACATAGATGTATCCTATTTTTTAACAGTCAATTTGTAATTTTTTTTAGAATATTGTATCCTTCCTCAACATATTGTATTATTTTCACTATGTATGCTATTTGTTTTCCAGAATCTTGTATCCCTATTTCTTTCATAGTCAATTTGTATTTATTTTTTTAGAATATTATATCCTTCCTCAACAGATTGTATTATTTTCACCATGTATGCTATTTTTTTTTCAGAATCTTGTATCTTTTCATAAATCATATTTATATGTAATGATTAGATTATATTGAGATACAATTAGTAATTTTTTGCAATACAAATAAAAGAAAAATATATTTGACAGTCATGTAATACAGTTTTGACCACTAAAATATAATTTATAGTTTTCACTGCAAGTAAAAAAAATTAATTTATTTTGAATGGTAAAGTGAGCACATAAAATGTAAAAATTATTGGTATACAATTATAATGAAAACATAATAAAAAGGAAAGTTTATCCAATCGAATGTAAAAGGAATTTTTTTTTGAAATTGTAACTGATGAGAATTTTAAGTGATATGTTCCTTTTTTTTAAAATATTATCTTCCTTGATTTTCTCCTTTCTAAATAATTGTAATCTTGAAAATCAATCAAATAAAAAATACATAAATCAAATACATAACAAACTAAAATGTTGACATTTTGAAAATTTAACCACTCAATATCCCTTAGCACATACACATTGGTCATGAAATAACGATTATTTTGCTTGATCGGGCCTTATAATTGGAGCAAAGGTGGCGACCATATTTCTTTGGTATACATATATTTACAGATACCATATATACATAAATCTAGAAGAAGAATGTAAAATTCATTTGAACCATATATAGCTTTTAGTCAACCTGAATTTATCTTACGTAAAATCTATTGAATTGCTGAAAATATTGAACTATGAACCTATAACAAAAACAAAGTGATGGACTTAGTTGTTGAAACAGACTTCCAAAAACTCAGAGAATTAAAATCTTAAATCTACGTATGCTCTTGATAGTTAATGATCTTGCGCAGACATTTTGAAAACGATATGAAGAGTTCTTAGCCTCTCTCTCCACTTAAAGCAAGTTTGTATATCATTGATTCATTATTTTATTTTTTAAAAATAACTGTTAAATGAAAAAAATATCACTGTATATACGATGTTTGAAAAAAGTTAGCACGTCGGGGATATTAAACATTGATAGTTTTAAATTTGGCAAACTTCTCAAATGGTCTTTCGACGTGAAATTATGTGATAAATAACTTATCATATTTTTATAACAACAAAATCACTCAATTTATATTGTATTTTGATCTATTAAACAACATTTGCGGGATAACTTACTTTTGACTCAATACCAAAACATTAAAAACGGATCAACTATATAAACGTTCATTTCCCTTGTTATATAGGCCTGTCATCTAATGACATCAATGGCAGATCTAAGTTAGAGCAAAGGGTCGTTGAAAATTTAGAGTAATGGGCAAAGGGAGTAAAAATAAATTTCTTTTGTTATAATTTATATATAATCTCCTAATGCTATAATGAAAAAGGTCTAGTGAAATGGCAAAATGGATTCAAATTTTACTTTAGGTCACATATCTTGATCCCATGTGTGTCAACCTATTGTTCTTCTAAATCCTCTTATATAAATTCCTGATTCTGCTACTTTATCCTCATACATTTACATGAGTGAAGCATTTCCAAAGTCAGAGTACATGAAAAAAGAATTCACCACGCTCGCAATTGAAAAGATAACTGTTATTCTCACAATAATCTCTTAAACACCAGCTCATTGTAACCTTAAAATAAGGTTTTTATGAGTCGAAAAAACTCTCCCACGGAAATGCAGCAACACATAATGTCAAAGTAATATACTAATTGAACTAAGCTTAAATTGATTGTACGTATTAAAGTAAGCACTTTGCTTATCATGAAAAGCATATATCAAATATTTGCATAGTACAGAGGAAAAGCTTGAAGAATATCAAAAACCCAGAAAGCAAGGTCCCTCAACAAAAAGAAGAATTGAGATGTAGTAACTTATAAGCATCAATGCAAAGAGAACCGAGAACGCTTGGTAATTATCACACCCTTTCTTTAAACTCAATAAGACGCTATTGTATAACAAATCAGCTAAAGAAACAACTTTTGATATTTTCTTAGTGCAAAAGACAATCTAGGAAAAAAACAAAGCATTCCAAAGAGAAAAGTGAGAAAGACACAGTCATATCCCACTTGCTGGAGGATGTATCAACAAACAAGGCTACTAGCAATTAATTAACAAGAGTTTGTTGGGGATGGACCAGTTGTATTTGTGGTTGCAACACAATCATCATATTAATAAAAATCATATCAACAGAATACTAGTTGCCAAGATTGAATAAGTTGAATCAATCTTAACTATAATTAGTTTTTCAAATTAAGTATGAGTTAATCCTTTTTGCTTCAATGCCCGAAAAACAACAGTACTGGTACACAACAAATTACCATCATCTTCCTATTCATTCATTCAATATATGCAGCTTACAGCATCCATTAATACGAAGATTGACGCACCACACAAGCAACCACCTGTGCCCATTGCCGCAACCTTGTCTTCACTGCCTGTGGATTATCTCCTACATTCATTTTTTTTCAAATATTAGCAACCATACGTTCAAATTTCTATTTCTTATTAACAATCTTGTTAAAGGAGTATACGCAAAACTAAAATTATGCATACCTATTCAACTCAATAAAGAACATTAACAAACTTAGAAATTTTCTGTAATCGAAAAGTAACTTTATTAGACGAATTACTTGAATTTACGAAAGTTGAATTGTAATGGAACATTCTAATATTAAAATTGAGGCGTGATTAATATGATTTGAAAATAATGAAGGAAAAAAACAGAGGTTTTGAAGATTTACCTGGATTGACAATGGTGTGGGGACTAACGGGAGGAAGGGTTGACTCGCAATCGGAGATGACCGATGATACTGACGAAGTCTTTGAAAGGGTGTCGGTGTATTGTTTATTCACGGCGTAAAACATGTCATAGGCCGGAAAAGTATCAGACAATCGTTGATCCATTTCTGGCGAGTCAAATCCAAACCCTAATTCGATACAAGCCTTAATCTCATCAAGGTCCTCATCGGTAACGCTCTTGCTTCGCCGTTTGAGGCAGCTTCCATGGGTACCCTTCCGCCGCTGCCACGCCTCATCGCGAAACGTGTCCGGTGACCAAGATTTCTGTTTGTACAAGGGAGACATAGCCGCCGACGAGGGTGGTGAGAGCGGTGGTCTTGATAGCGGAGCTGCGGTGGGGTGTGACATGGAAAAGGCCCTACCAACCCAACCCCTTTGAGAGGGTGGAGGGGAGCTCCGATGGCTCGGGCGTGTAGGTTATTGTGATTCAAATGGGCTTGAAAAAAAGAATTTATATTAGGAGAGGGGAAAAAAAATGGACCCACATGACATCGGCTTGTGGGCCTTGCACGATAGGTATTGGTTGGTCCAACTCATAATGGTGTTTTTCTTTAATTAGTCCCTTGATTTTGTCAAAGTTACCACTAAGGGTCGTTTGGTACAAAGATTAGTAACGCAGGGACTAGTAATACAGAGATTAGTAGTGCAGAATTTATTTTTATCAAATGTTTGGTTCATTGTTTCCCACCTCATCTTGTATTTGGATTAAAACTCTATAAAAAGCTTCTTTCTAATTATACACTTGAATTATTATGTAATTAGGTCAAGATAGATAATTGCCGGACAATATTATTTTTTTATGGCCTTCGAACTAGCTATGAAAAGAACAATTTTGTTATCATGTTTGCTATTTTTTTCCACTTGAATTATTTGAGGATAAATAATTGTCATCTTAATAAATTGATCACTCACAAAATGTCATTTTTAAATTTTAAAAAGATAAACCATCTACTTGTAAAATCAAAAAGACGATCAACAATGGTAAAATTGAATAAACCATCTACATTTACACATAAAAATTGAAAGTTGTAGTTTTAATATGTATGTAATTTTTTAATATATATATATATATATATATATATATATGTTTAATTAAGGTCACAAATAAACAACTAACATTTCAAATTTGTATTGGATTTATTTAGTAACAAACATCTCTCTCTAGATAATTTGTAAGCTAATTTATTTAAATAAATTTACTAGTACAAATATAAATCATAAAATCAAGAAAATAAACAAAATGATTTGAGGGATATTTTTGTCTTTACATAGACTTATCCCATGGTATTATATCAATGTATTACTAATACCTCCAAATATAAGGTATTAGTAATATATCCTATAAGACCATGTAGGAGGTATAACTAATCCATAGGCCAAAATTCATACCAAACATAGTACTAAATAATACATTACATAATCCATGAACTATTTCTTCTAATGCAGCCTACCAAACGACCCCTAAGTCTCTTGTAAACTTGGAAAGTATCAATTTTACTACTTCCTCTGTCCAATAATATATGTTCAGTATTGATTTAGCACAAATCTTAAGAAATGATAAATAATACAAATAATATTACTATATTTTCCTTTGGATATATTAAACCTAATACTTTAGAAGATTAGATATTAAATAATATTTAATAACAAAAATAAAATAGATAGAAAAAAGTAATTTATCTCTTAATTTTCAAACGGGACAATTATTAGAATAGCATCAAGAAAAATATTTAAAAGCATAAATGAAAGGTACTTTTCAATACTATTATTTAATTTGATTATTTTAAAATTTTATTTTTATAGAAATGTAAAGTAATTAACAGTCTTATTAAAAGAAGAGAAGATATGAAATGAAAAAAACGCTCACTAATTCTCTTGAATTTCAAACAATTCATTTACTTTGCATTATGAAAAAAGTCTAAACAATTCAGTTAGTATAAATAAAAAAGTACTATGTAACAAAAAGATATTAATTTAGAATGGATTAAGTATATACATTCAATAATAATTAATTAACACAAATAATATAATATCAATGCTCAAAAATAGTTTATTCATCTTACATAAGATAAGACCATAGAAATAAGGTTTGTATATGTTTTATTCTTTCTAAATTCTTTTTGTATAATTACTTGATATATTGTTATAATATAATATCAATACTCAAAACACCAGTTAATGACGCATAAGGGGTAAATTTGTTCATTATTAGGTGCGACAATATTTTTTTTACATTAGTATTTTTTATTAAAAGAAGATTCATGTAATATTTAATATGAGAAATTGTGTGTGATAATTAAGATATAACTTTAGTGCATGTTTTTAAGATTATTCAATTATAAAAATAAATTATTACTCGGGTGGGTGGACATTGTGGAGTTCATGATAGTTCAACAACTAATATCAAATATTGAAAGACAATTAGGATAGGTACAACTTTTATATATCACAATTAACAACATAACAACTTTTATTGTTACTCTATAATGTTAAAGGAAAAGATATGTACTTTATAATCATTTTATTGTTATCTATAATCATACATTACATTTTTTCCTATACACTTGGAAGTAATACAAAGTTGTTAATTGTTACTAACAATTGTCTTTTTAGCCTTTTTTTTTGTATATATATACATTTTCCATATGTTGACAAAACAAGTAAAAATTGGAGTTATTGAAGTTTAAGGACAAAAAAAATAGAGGAATAGCGATTTGTGGTTCTAATTAATTAATGGCTTTTAAGATTTAATTGGATGGACACATATGCAGACACGGATTTATGTATGTGTACTTGTTTAATAGTTCGAGGAACTATAATCATATTGAATTTCAATGAAAAATAAACTTACTCAAAAATAATTAAGTCGGGAAGAATTTATGAAATGTCTTTAATTCAATTTTTGTATATTGTTCTTAAATAATTTCGTGAGTGGTGTCAAGGACTTGTGACATGTATCTTATGTACAAGACTGTGTTGATATACTTCTTCTGTTCATCTTCACCAAAAAAATTATTGTCCAATAATATTTGTCCAATTTGAGAAATCAAGAGATTATATCCTTTTGCGTCTTACCCTTCCTATTAAATATCATTAGTATACGTGTCTGCGCGTTGCACGACTGTTTTAAAATATAATATAATGTTTTAAATTTTAAATAACTAATAAAAATTATCATGCAATTAGTAATATTTTTAAAATGATAATACGAATCCTTAAATTATTTGATTGAACACATTAAATTAATGATATATTTTGTGATTTTTTTAACTGAAACAAATAAATTTGATTTGGATCTAGATTTTTTTTTTATTTTTTTCCAACATAGATTATCAAACTAATTAATCTACCTCAATTTAAAATTGTAAAATCAAATTTAAAATTCAAAATTATAAAGTTGTAAATTTTCTCTCAATAATAATAATAATTATTATTATTTAATAGAAAATATAACAAAAATTATGGATTTAAAGTTGACTTAAACTGTTTTACTTGTTCCTGAAGCATCTTCTCAATTATTTTATCCGTTAGATTTTTGAAAAAAAAAAATAACACAATAAATTAAATTACAAAGTCATGCATATTTACAAAAAAATAGATAAATAAAAGACAATAACATATATACAAACATAAAGATAAAACAACATAATAATCCACCATCTCTTAATTTCTCTATAAGAAATATACAACTTTATTTTTCATATCACATTTTAGATTAATTAAATACTTCTACTATTTTCTAATATACACGTGTATAGTTTTCATAAATGCTTTCATGTTTATTTATTTTAAATTTTAAAATTGATTTGAATTTCTGTTTTGTTTTTAAATGGTAAATGAAATCTAATTTTATAATTCTTTTCATTTTAAATTAGTAAGTTGTAACTACTTCTGATCTCAATTTTATATGTTGAATTGCAAATAATTATTAATAATTTTTAAATTTTAAATTTTAAAACTGATAAATTTGTTTTTTTTTAAATGCCTATATTAACTACCTCATGTGTCTTTTTTTTTTTTTTTTTTTTTTGCAAATGCAATTTTGTAATTATTTTCAAAGAAAATGTTGCTTATACTATAGAAACAAACACACACACAAACAAATATTAAGTAGAATTTTTCAATAAATATATATTTTCTTCACCCAAAATGAAATACATAGTATAATATAATAATACCTATCACATTCAAGAAATCTAAACTATTAAAATGTACTCCAATATTAATTTTATAAGAGAGTATAATGCAAATAAGAGTAAACAACATGATTTAGCCATAATTTACATATGTTAGTGATGATCAAATCAAATTAGCCTATATATTTTCATGAATAACGAAATATGATATAATTATGGCATGTTACTTAATTAGTTCAAGATGAACATACTTTGAATGAATTATCCAATGCCCGGATGATGAATAATAATTAGCTACTAAAATACATAAATAAATAACAAAAAAAATAATCAACTATGTCCATTATATTGTAACTATCAAAGCATAGGATCAAAAATATTAGCAAGTATCTCATAGAAGCAATTAAATATAAAGAACTTCATTAAACTTGAACAGTAAATAAAAATAGCATGTTGTATCTTTTCAAGGAAAGAAGAAATGATAAGCCACTATTTTGAGAAAATACTTACTACCAACTTGCAAGTTTGTTGATCTTTAATTTCCGATGCAAAGCTAAATCTGAAAGACTATCAAAATGGCATTGAGTTATTTCAACTACCTTCTGTATATAGAATGATTTATATACTAACCCACAAATAACAAAGTACCACCATTTGTTCTACAAAATTATGAAAATGCGAAAAGATAAGTAACCATGTCCATATTGAACATGTCGACTAATGCTAAACTGAATTTATACAATTAAAGAACATTATTTTCAATAATACAACAATAATATATTCAATATAATTTATAACAATACTATTTTCAATAATAGAAATTCGAGATATATATACTACTTCTGGTATGTAAAGATTGGTGAATTAAAAATCTACCAAGTTATTACATTCGATAGAATTAACTTTAGCAAAACAAATTTAGTAACTTGCCGCATGTTGTTGTTGATAATTTGCTGATGAAATTAGTATCAAGAGACACACTTTTCTCAGTTAAGAAGTACTAAAGGAGAGCAAACAACTTCATGTTACAGATTGAGAGGAATTAGGAATGAAGAAAGAAGAGAAAGCAACCCATTCATTTGCATTAAATAATAAATGTGTGGGTCATGCGGTTACTAAAATTTGAATTTTAAATTTTCAATAAAAGGATGTGGGGTTGCATGAAGTGGAGTTAGTGGAGAAATGCAGCAGTTAGGGCATCTCCAACCCAATTTTCTATTTTACTCTCTAAATATAATTTTTTTTATTTTTTCAGACAATAAACTCCAAGCCAATTCTCTATTTTACTTTCTAAAAAAAAA